CGTAACTCCAACCCCAGCAAGTGGCATTGGGTGATGATGGGGTTGCAGTTGTGGCTCCTCTGGAGGTTGTTTCTGATTCCCTACAGTGGATGTGTGCCCCTTGGGTTCTGGGACTTTTTTCTGGCTCCCATCTGGGAGTGCAGCAGGAGGAGCCGTGCCAGCCCAAGTACTTGCATGCTGTCAGCTGCCTGTCCCCCCCTGCCCCCAAACCACTCATCCCAGTATGAGGGCTGCAGCCAGCTCAGCTCTGACATTTATTAACAGAGGGGCTTTGAAACAAGGCAGGCTGCTCCTGCAAAGGCTCCTCACTGCAACTCCGTCTTCTCTCGCCAGCCCATCTGAAGCAATGGCTGCTGGTGTTGAAATTCATTAGTGCTCACTGACAGGCGATGGAGGCTGGCTCTGTCTGTTCCCACTTCCCTGCTCTCATGTCCCAGCGTCACGCACGCTGATATTTAAAGCTGATGTGCAGCTCGTAGGCTTGTTGCGCTGTGACAAGTTTGGGGGTGGCTGAGAGAACTGAGAGGATGGAAGGAAGGCAGAGAGAGATGGGGGGGGGGAGAAGAGAAGGCACCTGTCTCAGGGTTTCTGCAAGAGCCTAGGGCTTCTCAAACCCTCTCAAAAGGTATTGTCTTGGCACAGCTGCAGCTTGTGAAGTGCAAGATGGAGGCAGAGGGATGGAGGCACAGAGAAGGCAGTCACCTGGCAGGGGCTAATCCAGCCCTTGACCAAGCCTTGTTCTTGGCAGCTGTCCTACTCCCTTGGGTGACACCTTGCTTCTGCTCTGTGCTGCCACATCTCAGCATCTCCACTGAAGCTTCCCATGCTCCTTCAGCAGAGGACTTCCAGAGCAGAAGCATGCTTGCCCTCTCCTTGGCAGCTCGGTGCAGCGAGGTTGGCAATTAAAATGTTCTGCATCTCTTCCAACTTGAGGTCTCCGGTGCGTGATTTTTTTTTTTATTTTTTTTGAAAGCTACAACCAGGTCTATAAATATCAAGATTTAATGTCCCTTTATCTTTCCCAAAGAGGGACTTATTCTTTAAACTGCCTCAATATCAATACACCCAGTGTGTAGAAAGTGGCCCAATTTCTTTGTCTCCTGACATCTTGAACCCAGAAGCAGATGGACGTTAACCAGCTCTGATGAGTTGGGAGAATCAAGCATTAATTTTTTATACACGAGGACCACCTGAGTGACGGAAATCAATTATGGCCAACCCTCCCTTCCATATTAATGTGGTGGCTCTGAGCAGAGGCGGAGGAACCTGTTGAAATGAGAAACCCCTATTTCTTAGTTTGACCCCCTAGATAATTAGGGTTAAATTGATATGCTATCGCACCGGTGACACATTTTATCTGCCTCTGTTTGTACAAGAGGATACAATAGTGGAGGAAGGACCAATTTGTGCCCTGCTCTAGCTAACCAGACCGAGATAAAAGGTGTCACTCGTACGATAACGTTCTTGCCTCACGCTCCTTTATTGTTGCTCAATTTGCCTTTTTTTTTCTTTTTTTTAAATCCCATTCTCTCTTACTTTCAATACCCTTGGTCATATTTTAACTCCATGCCATCGCATAATGATGCCCTGCTAAATGTGTGTGGAGATAGGCAACTCTGGCTGACAGCCTTCCCCGATAACCGAATTCCAGCCCATCCATCACTAGGCTGCTCTCCTTAACTTAAGGGAAGTGATAACTAAAGCAAGGCCGTTTATCACCGCTGAGCTGTGCGCTTCTCACTGGTTTCACTGGGAGGAATGCAGTCAGGTGACCTCACTTTCCGTTTACATCCCGTTCTTCTCCAGCCCCTGTTTCCCTCACAGCATGAAGAGGACCAGGGCTGGGTGGAAAACAGAGCCTGGGATGAGGGGGCTCTCTGAAAATGGAAGTGCAGGCTGAAGCAGAGCTGCACTGGAGGCTGGAGGATCCCGCAGCCATTTTCAGGCTTCTCACTGGCAAGTGCCTGAAGCACAGTCGTTGGCTGGTGAGATTGTTTGTGGAGAGGAAGCAGCGAGACTTCATTCAGAAGCTGGAAGCATGGTGGGATCTTTGTTGTTCACTTGATGTCAAGGGAAGCAGAGGAGTCTCCATCCCTGGAGGTATTTCAGAGATACATGCATGTGACACTGAGGAACACGGTTTAATGATGGGACTTGGCAAGTTGGGTTGACGTTTGCACCTGATGGCCTTGAAAGTCTTCTCCTGCCTTGATGACTCTGTGATTCTGTACCCTGAGCTATTTGCTTGAGCACAGCCGCTCTACTCATCAAGATTGAATTTTACCAGATGAGGAGCCATATTGAGCATAAAGTCTGTTTGCCAAATGATAGAATAATTTGAGTTGGAAGGGACCTTTAAAGGCTGTCTAAGTCTAACTCCTCCACAATTGAACAGGGTCACCTACAGCTGCATAGGTTGCTCAGAGCCTGGTAGTGATTCTAATAAATGGAGATGCTTTCTTAAAGGCCTTGGCAGTTTTATTCCCCAGGAGAGTCACAGGTTTGCCATGCCTGTTCCAACCTGCAGAAGGTGATGGAGAAACTGCTGCCTGTTCCCTAGGTTGAGGGAGCACGGATCCACTGTAGGTGACAACCTTGAAGCTAGGAGTGCTTTCCTGGATCCTACTTTCGGTGCAATGAGAGCCCCCAGATCCCCACGTCTATGCCGAGACCTCTGCAGCCCTGGACTACACCAGAACACAGGGCTGTACTTCAGTAAGGGCAAGGTGCTCAGGGGCTGTCTCCCTGACAGCCTGGGGCCACCCGACCTGAATCTTCCAGCTCAGGAAGCGGAGGCTGACAGCCTGCCCAGGTTATGGTATGAATATGGAGCTGCCAGTGCTTTAAAAACTTGGTAAAGTCTCTCTGGTGCTAATGTGAAATGAGGGGAGCAGAAGCACAGAGGGGGAGGGGGAATGTCCTTAGGTCACACAGTTCCACAGCCAGTTTCTGGGGTTGTTACTTGTTTGCAAAAATGGGTCATTTATTTAGTTGACATATTTATTTGGAACATTTATTTTCTTCAATTAAAGTCCCACTGTCCAGCGCCCTGGGCTTACTGCCATCAGTCTCAGGGTGGGAGAAGAACCAAGCTGTCCTGTTTCCTATCCTTTTTGATCCCACGGGTATGGAAATGCTTTCATGTCATTCATTGAACTGGGTGGTTAGCTGTCACTTCGTGTAGCTAACAAGAACAGTTCTGTTCTGGCTTGTCCTAAGCCCTGTCTAAACGTTAGGTGAGATGAGAATTATTCCTTTAGCTGGAGCCAGGTTGAAGGCTGTATTAATGAAGATTTCTTGGGCTGAAAGGGGAAACCATTTAGTAACACATTTCTTACTAACAGCTCTTGTGGTCCTCTCCAGCTAAAGTGAGCAGTCCCAGAGGTTGAGCTGATTCCCTTGTTAGATCCATCACTTATTTGAGATAGTTCCTTTTTCTTGTGATGTTTTTTCATTTGGCCCTCACAGAAAGCAGCTTTCCTAGGATGCTGGTTGGGCTTGGTTATGTCTGTTCAGCTCTGGGGCGTCATGGACACGGGTAATGGCACAGAGCAGGCTGACTTTTATGTGGTGGCCATGCAGTTGTGATGGTACTGGCATTAGATGAGCTGTGCCAAGAGATGAGAGCACGCTGTCAGGTTGTGCTGCTTACCTTGCAGATCGCCTCGGTTCTGCTGCTGTAAGCTCATTCTTTTGACAGAAGAGATTCTTATGGACCTCTTTATTTAAATGTTTCTGTATAGCTTAAATTGCCACTCCTAAATGAGGCTATGTAAAGACATACGTCTTTACAGGACCAGGTGCTTGGTTTTAGCACAGTCTTTCCCTTCCTCATCCTAAGCAAGCTCACAAAGGCAGCTCACTGCTGGGGCTGGGCATGGCAGCTGCATTGGTCACGTTTTTCTGGGAGATTCCTTTGAATATATTTGCCAGTTTTTGTCCTTTTCTTCCCTTTAGGAATTAGGTAGCAGTGCTCCTTTGGTTACTGTGATACACAGAATCTCATGTTACCCACAGATGTGCTGTCTGCATCCCCCCTTGGTTTCTTCATAGTTCAGCTGCTCTAGATCTGAAGGGATGCTGCCCTGGAAATCAGAGGGCTTGGAGATAGGCTGAGCTCTTAGCTACCGTACAGGGGCTGATGGTGCACTCAGCTCAGAATTTGTTCCTGAATTTCAGTCCTGAATCTCAAGTCCAATCTGGGTTCTCTGTATTTTGCCCTGGGCAGATGTGTGCTGAGATGCTGGAGCAGCTGATGCTGGCACTTGCGGCTCTTCCCTCCTCCCCTGCAGTCCCCACATGTTTAAGGAAGTTGTAAGATTTCCCCACCCCCTCTGTTTGCAAAAGCCAATTCCTGGGGTTGTGGCTTTTAACATGCACAAATGAGTCTAATTTAGTCATTTATTTAGTTGACATATTTATTTGGGATGTTCCTTTGCTTCAGTTAAAGATCCTGTGACCAGTGCCCCAGGCATGCTCAGCAGTACGTGAATGAACAAGATTCATCAATTACTCCTGATTGGATCAAACTGGCTGGAGAGGACTCCTATAACTCATCTCTAGCACAGCTGGAGCCCCGGTTTTGCTTCTCAGCCTTCCCCATCCATGGGCAAAGCAGGGTTCTCTGCCTGGCTGGCATTGTGCAGAAGGAGCCACTTTCCAAATCCAGGGCTTTTGGTGTCCCTCTGTTCCCACACAGTGAGCCCTGTTGGCAGAGGTTAAAGACTCATGCTTGCAGATCTGGCCAATGCTGCTCAAACCTGCAGTGGGACAGTGTGCAGCTCTTTGCATCTTCAGCCTGGCTGTGGCTGGGTGTGTGTCAGGCTTCAGCCAAGCTGTGCTCTCGTGAGGTTTGTTTGCTGCTGTCCTTTCTGATGTGCAGCCTGCTCCTGCAGGCTGGAGGGGCTCTTCCATCTCAGAGTGAAATGTGCTTAATAAAACAGAGTTTGTGTTGTCAGGACAGTAATTGAATCAAACCTGCTCTCTCTTCTCTCTTACAGGTTACCAGGACAATGCCAGTACTTAGGGCTGCCGGTTGCTGATTACTTCAAACAGTGGATTAATCTGAAAAAGGTACTTTTGTGCAAGCTGCCATGGTCTCTGTCTTCCCCCCCCCCTTTTTTTCCTTCTTTCCTCTTAAGGAGGTGTCTAATAACTACTGCTGTTTTGCATTGAAATGAGTTATTTTCTCAGAAGCTGGTCTCAGCGAGTCCTCTGACTCCTATTGTATCTCCTCTAATAGAGTCTTACTGTACTTGATGGGATATGTTCTGCAGCTGGGGAGAAACCCATTGTGGCAGCACAGTGCAGTGTCTCCGTGTAATAGTGGGATGCTGCAAGGCCTCTCACCAGCAAGGGTTTTGTTGATCCCAGTTCTGCTCACTCTGTTTTGTCTGCAGCCATATAAGGATCCAAGGACCTTGCTTTCCTTCTGATAAAATTCTGGTTGATAAGTGGGCAAATATGCTGGTATAAAAATGAGCATTTCCCTTTGTGCTGTGCTGTCTCAGCAGCATGTCCACCTAAGAGACCAGCGATCAAGTTGCAGAGCAAAATCCCTTGCACTTTGCTGTGAGGTGCTTCATCTCTGACTGGCAAGGAGCAGCCTGCCATGCACCAGCATGGAAAAACATGGTGAAGCCCCAAGTGGCAAATGGGAGTGGAAAGAAAAAACGAATGTGATACCCAGCTGTAGCAGGGCTGGGGAGGCTGGGATCTGTGCAAAGAGTATCTGGGGTGGTCCTTCTGATTAAACCTTGGAGTGAGTAGGGTTCCCTTCCCCCATCCAATTTCATGTTTTATTTGGGTTTCTGTGCCTTTTCCTTATAATTAGGGGTCTTAGTAAGTGGAATTTGCCTGTAAACAGCTTGTTGTAGACATGGGCTTTTCTTTTGTTCTTTTTATTTATTTGTTGTTTTAAATGGAAGCATGAGTGACAGGCTGAGCGGCCACAGAAGGACAATTTGCATGATCTGTTCCATCAAATGGGGTAGAACATGAGCTGAACAAGGGATGCTGGCAGCACGTTCCTGGCTGAACTTGTCAAGGGGTCTTGTATTTCCTTGCTGTCAGAGCAAATCTTTTGGCTGATTGCTGGTCCTTGGTAAATGAAATCTGAAAGCACGTTGGGGCATTCTGCAGTTCAGTGACCATTAATGATCGCCATTTGAAGTTCACTAAACTTCCGGTGAATGGATAGCAGCTACATAACCAGCAGGTTGATGGCTTCAGAATAATAATAATAAAAAAAATAATCCTGTGTCCCATGATGTTTGCTCAGCAGTAGGTTGATCCATCTGTGCTCCTCCTCTGGGTCTATGGATGGATGGCTTACGGCTCTTTTCCATAGCTCAAGGCTCTAGGATTTAGCATAGCAGAGGCTGTGATGTGTTGTAACGCAGACCAGACAAGCAGCAGTTCTTCAAGACAAGTGTTCATGCACTGAGCTACAGCATAAATTCTGATAGTGAGCTGAAGGCTGGTGAGCACTGGTGAAGCACCAAGCACAGGGCTGAGGGACAGAGGGAAACATGGGAATGCTCCCCTGCCCAGCTGGCTGCAGGGGTTGCAGACTAAGAGCGTAGGATGGGACACACGGGCTGGGGCTTGTGTCTGCTTGTCCTTGTGCAGGTGTGTTTGTTTTTATCAGAGAGCATTTCCAGCCTGAATAAATAATCCTGTGCGAGCAGCAGAACCCAGCAGTCTCAGTTTCTTGTGTCTGAGCTCCCAGCATGAGACAAATAAGGATGGACGGGTGACTCGCCCCCCTGCTCCTCCCTTGGAGCTCAGGCGGCCCCTTTTCTCCTCCCTCTGGCAAGTTCCTGACTTAGAAACACCTCCTAGTGCCTCTGACCTGATCCATGAAGTGAAGATGTTGGGGGTGGTGTGAAACTGCTAATTTCTAGGTCATGGATAATGTGGAGACTTGGATCTTTCAGATGTTGAGAAAACGGTTCATCTGAGTGTAAATGGCATGCGTGACTGAAAGCAGCTTCCTGCAGAACGGTCCCACCTGCATCCTGTTGGCTTTTACTTGGGTCTCTGCTTGTGACCACTGATAATGAGAGAATCCCACTGAGTTTGGGAGCTGCAAATCAGAATCCAGGGACATGTGCTGGGCAGGTGCGTGCATGAGGCAGACATAGTTTGTTTCTGTGTGTAGTGATGCAGCATCGAAACATATTGCATGTTCCTCTGCTCATGCACATGGAGCACACTTGTATTGCACCAGGAAACCTTCTGGGACTGGTCTGGCCTTACCAGTATTGCTGAGCTCCATCCTGCCTGCTGCTGTGATGTCTTGGATCTGAGCTAAAGCCTCCTGTGAAAGACAAAGGGAGAAAAGCTGCTCATGCACTTGACCGAGTTTGCAGAAGTTTTACCTTGCCCTGTGCCTCCCCCAGCCTGGTAGCACATCCCTGCTGCCAAGCCTGATCGGTGTTTGCTGACATTTTTAATGTCACTGAGCGATCGTGTGTCTCTAGTGAGCTGTCAGGGTAGAGCTGACTCGGGGCAGAGAGTTGATCATGTTCTTCCCTTCGATGAGCTGAGCACGGAGGGAGAGCTGCAGGAAGCAGAGCCAATCTGTGAATGCCGCAGCATTTTAGCTGTCCCCTTAAACCATCTCACGTGAGAGCCACCATCCTGCCTGCATGTGTCCCTTGTGCACCTGTCACCTGGCTGCTACACCACTGGCACCCTCAGGTAACAGGGATGGGTTGGTGAATGCCTGCTGCACCAGGATCAGCTCCCATCTGTGCTGCGCTGGCTCTTTTGGGAGCTGGTGTGGCTCACTGTGCCAGCTTCTGCTGCAGCTGCTGCTGTCGGTGCAACATGCAGATGTGGGTCAGGTCAGCCTGCTCTGGTTCCCAGCCATTACCTGCAGACTGGGACTGGTGGCTGTCCCTGACCCTGTGCCTGTTACCCACTGCGTTTGCTGCATCTGCTGCCATTTGTTTCTTTTTCTGAATCTGCTGACGCTTTCAGTTTCTAGAGCATCCTGCAGCAATGAGTTGTGCTATTTAATTATGCATTAATTGTACTCTGCTTATTCACAGTAGTGTGAAGATGCATGTCCTTTAATTTCTTTTAAACCTTATCATTTTTGTGAACTTCAGCCTTCTCTTCTGTGAAAGAGCAAAGAAGTGGTGCCAGTTTCTCTCCTACTGTTGACACGAGGCCCCTGCCTGAGTCTGCCTTCATGGTCTCTTTTGCAGCGCAGCACAACTGTTGGTGGGGAGCTGGCACAGAGCCACAGGCTGTTCCCTGACTCCAGAATTGGGTTGTGGGAGCTATTTTTAACACTGTGTTGTCATCTTCCATTTCTTCTTTGGAGGTTACGTAGTTATAAGAAAACTAAGGAATATTTTATGGAACGTGTAAAGATTTTATTCCTTATTTTTGAAATACTTACTTGGAGAAAAAAAAAAGAAGGCAATCTTCATACTCACTGCAGAGCCAAGGGTGTCCCTTTCTCATCCAGGCCCGTTTGACCATCTTTTGTCTCTGTTCACAGAGGTCCACATGTCTTTAGGTACACAAATGGTGGTTACTTCAGAAAGTCCATGCTGGGATAAGTACAGGGCTGGTGTTTTCCAGGCCCAGCTTTTAGTGATCTGTAGGTTTCTGTAGCTTGGAAGCAAACAGCTAATACGTATGGACAAATATTTTGTCATCTACTGGCTTTGTGAAATACAGCAGAGGAAGGATGTAATAGGATGTTTTTGTTAATATTTGGCAACTGGAAGTAAACACATTCTAAACAAACAAAAAGCTGTTAGCAAGTCTTTGTCTCTTCTCTGAATTAACAATTCCTTGTGCCTTTGGGATGGAAGGAGTTCTTAGGCACTTGGTATTAGTGCCATGAGTGCTTTGGATGAAGAACATTAAAATGGATGCAGTTGAGAAATAGGCTGTTTTTTGACACATGTCTGAAAGTTACTTCCAAAAGTTAACCTCTTGAGGGCTAAGTGTGTGCGTGTGTGATGGCTATCAATTGCCTGTTGATTGAGTTACTAGCTATAGGGAATATAAAATGCCTAGGAAGGTCAGAAATGACAGAGAAGGACTTCTCAGGCAGTGTTTCACAACTGAAGCATTAGGCATGTAGTCAGGCACCTGGTGCTTGAGACCCTGTCCTGCCTGCCTTCATGGGAGCTGTGCTCTCTTAGCCCCCTATCCCTCGCTCTGGAGCTCCTGGCCTCAGTAAATAGGTCTCTCAGAAGGCAGCAATGTTAGATGTTGTGAAGGGAAGCAAAAGTAGAAACACAGCTCCAGTGGTAAGGGAAGTAAGGATGTGGAAATTGGGAAAGAAAAGTGTCTGTGCAATGGCATTGGTTCATAGCTGGAAGGGAATGGAAAGATTGCTTCTAACAGCAAAATGCATTGCTCCGTATTTACTGAAAGGCAGAGGATGTCGTATCAGTGAGCAAGATGCTGTTACGATACCATAACTGGTTGCTTTAGGTTGGCATTTTGCATAGCTGGTTTACAAGAGCTTTCAGAGAGCTGGCTGAGAACCTCTCAACTGTTCTTGTTGCTTTTAATAAGTCTTTGAACATGGGGGAAGTTCTAGAGGACTCGAAGAAAGCTAATGTTGTACCAGTAATTTAGAAGGGCAAATGGGATGACCGATGAAGTAATTATAGCCCTATCAGCTTGACATTAATTCTGGGCAAAGTAATGAAAAGCCAGATATCATAGATGATTAATAAAGAATGAAAAGAGGGTAATATAATGCCAATCAATGTGGATTTATGGAAACTAGATCTTTTTCAAACTAACTTGATATTTTTTTTATGAGACTGCATGTTTGGTTGATAAAGGTAACCATGTCAATGTAATATACTTCTGGAAGGCATTTGACTTGGTACCTTATGACATTTTGATGAAGAAACAAGAGTGATACAAAATCAACATGGCACACATGACATTGATTAAGAACGAGCGAACTGACAGCTCCTAGCATTTAATTGTAAATGGGTAATCATCATGGAGTTCTTGTTTTCCTAGTGGGGCCCCATAGGGATCTATTTCTCAGGCCTCTTGTATTTAGCACTTCTATCAATGCCTTG